CCTGCGCTCTCCCTCACCCCCATCTCCCCTCACTCGCTGGCACAATGCACGGCCCTCCCCCCCAACCTCCCCCAAAGATGCAACTGCCTCTATAAGCAGCATGAGTGAAGGTGATGAAGATGAAAAGTAGACAGACTGTTGAACACATGCACGTACACACCCAGTTCCTTAACAGTATGCTGCCTGGGGACTGACTCGCGCACACACACACACACACACACACACACACACACACACACACACACACACACACACACACACTTGCACACAGATATACTCCTATAAACACTGGCTGGATACTGGAATGGTTATCCTTAAGGGTGTTGCTAATATGCAATGCAGATGCTGATTGTGGGAAATGTAGTTCTGAGCTACAGAGCGAAGAAGCCATCACTGTCTCTGTTGTCTGGGCAACTGAGCTGACAGACAGAGGAGGGAAAAGAATGTGCATGAGGATTTTTGTACACAGAAGGTCCAAACTCCTTTGCAGCGTCTTTCAAGAGGATTTGCTCTGGATTGTCCAGCAGCAACAACTGTCCAGCAGCCTGCTCATAAAATCATGTCATTGTTTTTTTCCTAGTCTGTTTAGTATTTACTTTGAAGGACGCCACTTTCTGTATCTACTGTGACCTCTAGATGTGAACAGGCACAAAGATACAGAAACATTTTTTTTTCTGACATTCAGTTGAACAGGTCACGTGAACTGACGAGAACTGAACTCATTCATTACTGTGCAATGTTTGTGTGTTTCACTGAGAGACACTGCACCCCCTAGAAAAGCACCTGAACGCGTAGTTTGCACCACTTTAGCATAAATGTTCAGTATAAAGAGTGATTCAAAATCTTGATACACTGCACAGGTTCTCATACAGTAGCGACTACTTTCAAAGGCAACTGAAAACTGACTCCTAAGAAAAGCATATGAAATTTCTATGTAGGAAGTTAAAATTAGCAAGGAGTAAAATGAGAGAACTGAGATTATTGGTGCAAAACAGCCCCAGTGAAAGGAGACCGAATACAGAAACCAGAGCCTTGTTGGATAACAAACAACAGAGCCCTACTTTTAAAGCTTGTGTGAAAAAAAAGGAACTAAGTCTGTTATGTAAATACAGATGTTCAATATCTCAGACTTGGATCGCACCTAATCTGTAAATTATGTTAACCCCAAAACATGATTGCGATAAGACAGAAAAAACTGCATTCATTTATTAGCTTCCTGAATGTAAAATTTGTGTTTGAGACCTACACCTACAGTAGACAAAGACACCAATACATCGACACACAGCTATTTACTAGGTTATATTTATCATGTAATAACTGTTAAAGATGTGAATTTTCACCATAAAAAGCCTTTTTAGTTATTTTTTCCATGTTACAGTGCCTTGCGAAAGTATTCGGCCCCCTTGAACTTTGCGACCTTTTGCCACATTTCAGGCTTCAAACATAAAGATATAAAACTGTAATTTTTTGTGAAGAATCAACAACAAGTGGGACACAATCATGAAGTGGAACGAAATTTATTGGATATTTCAAACTTTTTTAACAAATAAAAAACTGAAATATTGGGCGTGCAAAATTATTCAGCCCCCTTAAGTTAATACTTTGTAGCGCCACCTTTTGCTGCGATTACAGCTGTAAGTCGCTTGGGGTATGTCTCTATCAGTTTTGCACATCGAGAGACTGAAATTTTTGCCCATTCCTCCTTGCATTGCTGCACTGAAAGTAAAGGGGCTGAATAATTTTGCACGCCCAATTTTTCAGTTTTTTGTTAAAAAAGTTTGAAATATCCAATAAATTTCGTTCCACTTCATGATTGTGTCCCACTTGTTGTTGATTCTTCACAAAAAATTACAGTTTTATATCTTTATGTTTGAAGCCTGAAATGTGGCAAAAGGTCGCAAAGTTCAAGGGGGCCGAACACTTTCGCAAGGCACTGTATATCAATCACTAGTTTGTGTTCTTTGGAATAGGACATTAGCTGTTGATCAAACTTGGAGATGCAACCCATCTCCAAGACTGATGATACTTGAAATATACAAGCCCTCCAGGTGAACTATCAGGTCGTCAAAACTTAAACATAGTCCTGTTCTTTTCTTTGCTACTATTGGAAATGTACTGTATGTAACTACTTTTTTGGTCAGGTCTGCTCAGCCATACCAGGCCGCAGCAGACATCTCGCTGCCAACGTAACAAAACAATAAACACTCTAATGCAATCTAGAGACCTTAATGTCCTGTGTGCACTACATCTTGATCTGCGTTATAGTGTGTGTACAAACTTCAGGATTTTCTGGAAAAATTGTTTAAATGTAGAAATGGATTAATATGCGGATTAAACAACGCGTGTACCTGATTGTGAAATAAGATGACAGAATGTAAAAAAAAAAACTTCAGACAGATTACACAGAACAGTAGTTTTCTTTAATTTCAGGCTTGACAATAGGTAGTATAAGATGATTTCATGCTGAATCAAATTAGACTGCTTTATGATGTTTAGTGTTTGTCGGTGGTGTGTTATTAGTATGTCTTTGCATGATCGCCTCCACAGTTTGGAGTTCATGCATACAGATACATTTGATTAAGCTGGAGGAACAGCAGGATGGAAAACAGAACAATCACTCCACACTGTCTGCATCTACAGCATACTTATTATTAATAGTTATATTATACCATATATAATATTTAACATACAATAACAGTAAAGGTTGACTACTGAAGGAGGAGGATCCCCTGGCCTCTAAATTGTGGAATTGATCCATAGCTGTTAAATGTGATTATGACTAGTTTACATGGAGAGCACATATTAAAATGGTGAGGCCTTGAAATAAAGATGACTGTTTTAAGCTTATAACACAACACTTCCTTTACAGCAGGATTGTCACTAAGCATCACTCAGTAAAAACGACAGGTTACAAAGGCAGAGACGAACAGCACGGCTGAAAAGTGCAGAGCCTACAGAATGAGGAAGCTCTCCATACTGAAGCATCTTTCAAAATTCCTCATCTAAACTCCTTTCTATTCACATCAGGTGGAGCTAAAGGAGATGAGAAAAGGAAGTCACCTCAGACTAATGGCATTCTCCATCACCTGGGCTTAATAAATGGGTTGTTTTCAGCAGCTCTAAAAACAATGTTACTATTATAAAGTGCTGGGATCTGATCATAATAAATCTTCTATTAAAAATCCAGCTCTGAACTGACTGTATGAATGCGAACTGAAGGAAATCATATGTGTAGCGTTAAAGTGCACTAAAAGAGTGAATATGACTTGTGAACAAAATCAAATGGTATGATGCAATGTTGCAGTACCCAGTGATGCTTTAGTGGTTTGGAGCTCCGCGTCTAATGTATAACCATATTTTCCCCTGCCAGCTTTTCCACAGCCAAATTTTAGTGCTGCTCGACTTTCTGTCATATGAATAAAGAAAAAAATGGAGAAGACTGTCCACAGACTTTTACAAGCAATCAGAGAAAACTCACTCAAACATTTTTTTCCAGCATGAACGTTTAAACGTAAACAAAACCAGTGCACAGTCTATCTACTGTGTGTATTTCTGGATATATCTATTTCTTCTATAGCCTTTTGGCTATATCTTCTACTTCTGCCCTTTTCACTTATTACAAAACAAAAGCATCATTTTAAAATACACAGGTGCAGAAAGCGGCTGTAATGATGTAACCCCACTTTTACAGTCTCTGTGAAGTGCATCAGGTCCATCCCACTCTGAGGTTTCATACAGTACATCACACTGGTGTGGCTGGAGCTACCTGACAGACAAAGCTGGCATGGTGGCAGTTCATAAGCATCATACAGATGCACTGTTGGTCCTTCCATTGTTGTTAAATCAGGGTGGAAAGATGGCTTGCAGCCAGACATGTTTAAAAGTCAGTATTACCGGTGAACAGTCTTTAAGTGTGTGGGTACTGATAGGCCACAACATTAAAACCATAACACTGATTATCTCAGCACAGTGGCACCTGACACAACAACATAAAATAAAACCTTTCCTGGTCGTTAAAACTTCTAAAAATAAAATGTCTTTATGATGCAGTGCTTCCCTTAATTCTTCCAAAACATTCATTTCGTCTCTAGGCAATCTTCTCTTAGATGTTCCCAAGCTTAAATAGAGTGCAAAGAAAATACATCTTCACAACGCCAATGACACACTGGCCTAATTGTGCGTTGAGTCAAAAGGGTCTCCCAGCAGAAGAAAATTAAACCTCCTCCTCTTCGCATTTGCCCTGAAACTCAAACCCCTGACTCTGCTTGTGCTTGACAGAGAGAAGCAGAATGCAATCCTTCACTGCTGGTGAGAAAGACACTCACACAGCAGTGCATGGTTTATGCAGCTACAGGGAGCAGTGGCCAAGCCCACCCACTACAGATGTTATCACACCATTCAGCAGCGTTTTATCATTTGTTTTCTGACCATAGTTATGCTTCAGGAAGCCCATACTCCTACCCAGTAGGTTGGTATTAAGCCATAGACCTTCGTTGTCATTGTTACCGTATAATAATGAAAACAAAGTGTGCCTGCTTTGTGCTGAAAACTTGGCCTGGGTTAAAACACTCATGGACAGAAAGCACATAACTGTTGTTTCATGGCCCATCCACCCACTACAACCTCCTTCTAACATGTTTTTACTCTATGCTGTATACTATGTTAACTCATTTCCGCCTTTGCTTGTGTCATAAGTACAGCAGCTAGTAAAGGATACCTAATTGCATGAGGCACCTCTTCAGCTGTGATGATGATGCCACTAAATAACATGACAACACTCGAACTGGCTGCCTTGGCAGCACAGACTGTGCATGAAGCAGAGGGAGAAGACTACAGTGCAGTGATTTTCAGTTTAAGTAATGGCCCGACATTTGTAATTATTCACTCTAAGTTATTTATAAATGGGGTTAGACAGAAGAGACCCATAATTTGGAAGAGTTACATTTTAAGATCCATCCTGGGAGAGCTAGTGCTAATGCCACAACAATGAAAGCCATGCTGATGAAGGCTGTTGCCATTGGGCAGAGATTTAAGTCAAGGTTATCGATGTTCTCCAAAACGTTACCCACTGGAATGTAAAAGCCACCGTGATCTGAAACCCAAAGGCAACATTTCATCGTACATGCTCTAGGCTGAGTGTGGGCATTTTGGGTCCCAGCAGAGGGCTGGGCTAGCAGGCCACGCAAAGTTATCTGTTGGCTTTGTATTTGGACTTGCTGGCATCACGCGGCTCTTTGCTGGGGTTGCTCCAATCATCTGCCTCAGGGCTGGTCTTGTAGTGCCGCCATGCTGACTTGTTGAAGACAGGCAGGCGCTCAAAGGATTCACTGGACAGGGCCTTTAAATTCAGGAACAAAACACAAGCCAGTGAGAACGCACAACCACTAATATTTAAAGGAAAAGTTCAATGGTTTGTGAAATATGCTGAGAGTTATATGATGCTGAATATAATGCCAGCAGCCAGTAGGCTTATCTTAGTGGAAAGATTTTAAAGGGGAAGCAGTTAGTCTGGCTCTGTCCAAAGGTAAAGTTATATCTCAGTGGTTTAATTCACACAAAAACTAAAGTTTTTAGGAGGGGTTATACATACGATTCTGACCTGGGATTTGCTGGCATGTTAACTGATGGCTATGTATGGTTTTGACAATGTCATGGAGACCTCTCTGTGAATTTAACAGTATTATTTTAGAAGTGTTGATTTAAAAATATTACAGTGGAAAACCAAAGTCAAAATCCAAAACACAAAAAAGACGGTTCACACACCCAAGTGATTACCTGTAAGCAGAGCTATCCTCAGACTTGAAAACCTCACAAGGCTTCTTATGACATTAAGCTCATAAGCAAAACATTAAATACATTTACAAGCCTATACACAAATTACACAAACAAAATTACAGATTATACAAGTAAACAATTTTTACTGTGGATCAAATGGACAACTCCAAAAACATGACCTCCAGGCACTGTAGATGACAAAAAACTGCATAATGGATATACTTCCGCGGTACACTATGATGAATAGGGTCAAGCATCGTAAGACAAAACTCAGGGATAATTAAAGTGTTGCTACAGTTAAAGATCCGAGTCAAATTACCCATTTAAATGAGTAGGCGACATAGCATGTCATATGAAAGTCCAACATTTTGGACGTGCAGGTTCTTTTAAAGGTCTAATTACTGCTTTGTCACAACTAAAGAGAAGTGATTTATCAAACTTTACTGCATTTTTCTCTTTGTTGTAGCCTTGAGTCATGCATTGTGTTTTGATAATGATTGTTTCCGTACACTACAAGACGACAGGGATGCAAGGCTATGAAAAAGTAGCCTACAAACTAGTCATTTATGTGCACATTAAACAAACAAGGCACAACATGGGCCAGGCTAGTTGTTTCTCCATCCTCCCTCCTGGTCCTCTTTATGCTAAGCTAAGCTAGTCATTTTTCCTGGATCAAGCAGAAGATTTAACAGACAATGCAAGAAAGTGAATTAGTATATTTCTACTGCTTTAAACTGTGGGTGTTCGTGTCTTTAGGAGATAGAAAAGTCAACATGCTCATCTTGACTTGTTCACTTTACCTTCAAATAGATGACAGCATCTGTGCCAACACCCTCCATGGAGTAGAGTTTCAGATCCCCCTGGAAGTATCGGGCATAGAGCCTGGAAATGGGCAAGCCGTAGCCAAAACCGGCCTGCGCAGGGGGAGAAAAGTAGACTTGGATTTCTCAGATGTCATGCTATGTGAAACAACTGTATAAGCTAAAAAAATGTTGATCACCGGGGGCAATATTGATTTGATTCATTGTGTGTACCAGTGGTACGGCTCCTGGCTCCAGGCTTGGTGTAGGGGCAGTGGAATACATGTAGTTAAACAGACGGTCTATCTTCCTCAGAGGAACTCCTCCGCCTTTGTCACTGATCTGAAGGAAGAAATTAGAAAACAGAGACAAGAAAAAAGTCTGTCAGATACAAAGTTTTAATAACACACTTTTTCATGATGATGTTCTGTTTGTGTCTTTACCTTTATTGAGAGATCCTCTTTGCCCAGAGTGACTTTTGCCTTTATTGGTGGTAATCCTTCTTTACTGTTCTCATGAAGCTCCACAGTGGCTCTCATTGAGTTCTGCAAACAGAGACAGTGGTAATTAACTCTGTTCAGCACAAGTGTATGGTTGCATTATATTTTAACTACATGTAGAGAGCACTGAACTAGTTAATGGCATTGATGCTACGCTGCTCACCTTGAAGAGCTCAAACAGCATGTGGAACAGATGAGAGGGCACATACACCACCTGGATGGGCTTTTTAGGGGCCTTCACTGGAAGACGGCGGATGTGAGAAGATGAAAAACACACAAACACACACAACTAGTTCTTTTGAAGCTAGTGAGATAGTAGACACTGGACCTGTGTTAAGTGTAACACTGCACTATTCTCTGTGGAGTCTTGCAGGTACCCTGGATGCCTCCTTCCATCAACAGGTGATTCCTGACACCTGCTGGCCTGCTTTTAAAAGGCTCCGTCAAGTCCCACATACTCTCTATCGTTTCTATGAAGTATTAAACCACACATTATTAAAAATCAAATAGTTTGTCTCATGTTTACACAAAACGAACACAGCACTCTCTTTAGCTAAGAAAGAGCTCTTTAACTTACTCCTGGCCAGGGGCATTGCTGCTGCACAGTGCCTCCCATGCCTCCAGAGTGTTCTGATATCAAAAAACACCCTGTACTTTTTTCAGATACTGTATGCCTACCTGCACCACTGGCCTTCAGCATGGTATTGACGTTAAACACTATCCAAACAAAATGAGTTCTGAAAAGTGTCAGCTTATGTCTACAGCAGTAGATTACATGTTACAGCAGGGTACTGCAGAATCTAGTGCTAGCTCATGTAGCTCTCCTTGTTGACAAGTCAGATAAATCACTTCATTACTGTACTTACTTTCACACAGTAGTCATGGAGTGCTTTGCTGCAGAAAGATGTTTTATTAAGTATCTAACTTCCCATAGCATGAACCCTTCCCTCATTGTTTCTGCAACTGACTCCGCTGAATTTGTACTGTTTTCATTGGCTCATTTCTGACAACAGGCTTGAAGCTCTGCACTGAGAAATTATTTTCTTTTTACTCTTGAATGACATGTTGTGAAAGAAACTTTCCACAAATTAAGTCAAACAGGAAGCCTTATATGCATATTGTAGTGTTGTTGATCATGTTAATGATCAAATCTCATGAATGTGCACCTCCCCATGAACAGGTGGTATTCCTCAGTCTGAAATGAGTGATTTATGACAAGTCTTCACCAGTAAGATTTGGTGAATTCAAGTTGGAACGCTTGTACAAACAAGTCACACAGAAAAAAGTAAGAGACATTTTTGACAAGAAGAATGCAAAAATGTTCTTGGACAAAGCTTGTTGTAATCACTGCAGAACTAAATGACACAACACACCAAAAAAATAAAAAATTCAAATCTCTTACTGTTGAACTCTTCAATCTTGAGCCACACCAAAAAAATAAAAAAATACAAATATCTTACTGTTGAACTCTTCAATCTTGAGCTCAGGAGAAGCCAAGTAGTACTTCTCACACAGCATCTTGGCAGTGTCATAGGCATCTGACGGAAGAAACAAAACAACACGGGTCAGCATGAGAGCACTGTTTAAATTTAGATTAGTGACCACTGCAGGTCACTAATGTAGCATCTGCTCCTTACTGGGTCACTGAGAGTGTAACTTTGGGTCTACACTGTTGGAACACCATAAAAACTACCATTATGTACACATGCTATTTAGTGCAGATAAACTGAGTTTTGTTTGGTTCAGGTCACTGCTGAGAGCAGCTGGTGTAATATAAAACATAATTAACTCAGTTTACCATAAGAACTAAGCACATATTTCCAGAATACCAAAAAAAAAAAAATCAGTAAATAAATCAACCAATAATTTCCAAAATATAGGAATATAAATTGCAATAAGTATATCATATGAAGATTTCCAACCTTCTTAACTCACCACTGACGACTTCAGCCACACTACAGTTAGGATCTATACTACCAATGTGTTTTGGATGAGCAGGGTTGGTGTCATTACCAAATAGGAGAGCTGCACAGAAACACACAAAAATAAAAAGCCACTTAGCAACAAATCAGGAACAAAAATCAAGCAGCTACATGCACAAACAGTATGGCTGCGATTCAACGGACCACACAGGTTCCTGTGACTCACTGTGCTGGTTGATGAGCATGCGGAAAGAGATGCGGTTGGTGTAAAAGCGGTCAAGGAAATACTGGATGTTGCTGCTGATGAACGGGTCAAAGCCAAACCTCTCCTTGTACTCTGTGACCCCCTGAGCCATGGTGGGAACCACGTCGTTGTGACGGTTGCGGATCTCAATCAAAAGCTCCAGGAAACTAGATTAGAATCAAAAACGAAACCAAAATCAATTAACGTATTAACAGACTGATACTGTAACTGGATGATATTACGTGGTTGACTGCAAAGTCATTCTTATCTAATACAGTCATAACAGTGCCAATTTTAAAATCAAATAAACGAAAACAGCAAGGTGGTCATCTATTACATTCAGTTATAAAAGACTCAATATCACTGTGCTTCCAGTGAAATTAATGCTTTTTTGGAAATGTATTCTCTAAACCGAGCTGCCTTACCCAAATTTCTATCTGCGTTTATTGTCAGGGATGAGTGGCTGCTCGTCATACAGGTGTAGTTTAAATATAAACACTCACCATTACCTCTACAGTCAGCACAGGGGATTAGTATACAGTACTAAACTTTCATTTATGAAACACCGATCACTCACTCGTTCAGAACATGAGAGTCCTCTGGCTTTCGATTCTCATAATCCAGCAGCTCCACAAAGCTCTGCATGTACCTAATAAAGCAAACATAGGTCAAAAGACAATAGAGAGGTCTTCATAGTCATTGAGCACATCCTAAATTTCCAGCATGTTAGCAGTGTCTGTAAATGTCCTTATCATCTGATAGAAACCTTCCCAATGAATTGAACTGTGAGTCCAAACATTTGGCTGGTAATATAGCCCTAGTGAACCCTTATTGTCTGGCAATATAAAGGGTATTACTGGATGAAGTGGCTCACCATTTCTGCACCAGTCTAATGGAAGGCTGGCTGAGGAGATTGTCAGGCAGCAGGTTGACCTCTCTCATGGTGTTGGCCAGCCGTACAGGTAGCTCCTTGCGCAGGAAAACATAGGATGTTTTCTCACATGCATTGTCCCTGCCTGAGAGAAAAAAAGTATTTACCACACACACTTTCCCATTCAATTCAATGCAAAAATGGGTCCAAACGTTTGACTGGTAGTGTATCTAGTTAAAATGCAGTCAGTGTCCACCAACATTAGCCTGAACTTCACAGAGAAATCATGAATCTTGTTAGTCAGTAGAGAGCCCCCTCTTTATGTTTTAGATCTAAACAGTAAAATATTAATTAATGCGGGTTAACCTTATTTGAAAATGACTGTGTGTTAGCCTTGCAATTTATTTAACAATTTAGACAATGTGCAAAATGCCCAGCCTCCTAGAGGCTTCTGCAGAGAAACCTACTAAACCCAATGAAGATCTGTTGGAGGATATGCTTTCGGATCTCCAAGTTATTAAAAAGGGAACAATGGTAAAGTCTCAGCAACATAAACAACACAGAGAACTGACTGTAGCTTGTGTTACAGGAAACCTGCTGTGCAGACATGGTGCTGCCCTTTGAGTGATCTCAATACTCCAACAGATAAGAGACAATAAGATGTGTTGATATTTTATTACCTTGGGAGTGAAAACTAGATGGTCTGGCACAATGACAGGAAGTGTTTCATCATTCCAGTTCAAAGAAAAGACTTCCCCTCACTCAGTAATATAAAGAGTGGCATCATAAATTAGAAAATAGGTAGTGATACCACCAAATACTGACAGAGCCCTATAACTTCACACACTCTCATGAAACTTTTATGACAACTCCTTTGCCCCCTGTTGACACACACACACACACACACCACGGTCTTTTGCCCAGTTACTCTCTTGACATGAACATTTATTGCTGACGAGACAGTAGCTGTTGCTGAATTCCAGTGAGGTGCCACAAGCTTCCTGTACTTCATTACCAACCCAGAGCTGCTTGCATAACAGCAATGAGCTTGTTTAATCAGAGTTGCATTAAGCCTTGCTACCATCACACAACTAATAACTCAATTTGGAATGTTAAGCTTCAAATACTAGTTGATGTGTTTTATTTGAAAACAAAAGTTTGAATGTCAGCTTTTGTTTCAGCTTAAAAAAGCGCAAAGCTTCATCCTTTGATTTCTGCTCATATAGACTAGAACCAACATGAAATGATGAGTATTGTCTAAATGGACAATAAAAATGTTTGCACTCTCCAGTGTATAATTGTTGTTGCTCGATGTTCCTGTCTGAATGAAAACACCCGCAAATATTACGTTATGTCACCTGTTCCCATTGTAAACAAAGATGCAACACAAACTGCCATGCAGCCTCCAACCTGCACAGGCGGGACATTAAAGTAGACACCAAATGCAAAATGTTGACCATAACAACATATCATGTTTCAATACAGCCTGCAGGCTAGTAGACTTATTTTATTAATAACAGCTTTGCCTGTGATGCATCTAATCCACAGAAATAGCACAAGAAGTCCTAACAAGGCCCTCAGATTGGCATCCTCGTTGTGCACTGATGTTACTCACCAAAATCCAAAAACTGCTTAATGGAGAGCGGAGACGGGGAAAATCTCGAGTAATACTCGATTTTAGGGTTAGTGTTTTTCAGAAGAGACACGAAGAACTTCATTTTGAACGTTCAACGATGATGTCTGGCCGTATCCATGTGAATAAGGTTCAGAAAAAGCACAGCAGCGGTCCGGTAACGCTCACAGAGACACGGGCAGTCCTCATCAGTCGGCGCCCTCATCTGTCCCAGGCCGCAGACCTCCAAAATACACGACACGACGCGACGAATGCGTGTTCATAAGGTTAAATGATAAGACAGAAATAATAACTTATGCCCTCAAGAGGGCTTCCTGGATCTACATAGCTAGACATTCATTGGCAGATCAACACAGTCAATTAGTCGAAATCAAAATGCGGCTTCCGGTTCTGTTTTTAAAAGTAAAGCAATACGTGGAAGAGTGCGACAAGAAAATTGTGGTACCTTTGTCTAATAAGGCAGCCTTAAAGGGTTTATACTGTACCCACTAGTTTATTGTTAATAAAGTGTTTGCTACTTTTATAGATCAATTTCGGGTCATTAATACGCGAACATTATTTGTTCTTTTTCATGCATTTTTTTCTCCAGAATTCTTTAACAAACACTTAAAGTATGGATGGATTACAGAACTGGAAAACGACTACAAAGAGACATAAAGCAATTACGATTGTGTCCTTCAGGAGCCTATCATTTAAAGCGCCGTATATTTATTATTAGTAGTAGTATTAGATAATGGAGACAAAGCAACCACAAATTCAAATGAAATAACTACAAAGAAAAAAAAAACAACAGCAAATAATGGTCTAATAATAATCAATAGTCAATGATAGTCAAATAAAACTGCAAAAATTACTACAGTCAGAAAGATTGACCACAAAGAAACAAAATAGAACTACAAAAAGATAAGCAGAACTAGAGATGTAAAAAGATAAAAATAAAAATAAAATACAAAAAGGCACAAACCGACGATTACAGGAACAACAACCCATCACATAATTTTTGTGTGGGTCTCTTGGTATTATGGCATTATTTTTAAAAACATTCTCTACACTTCCGGTCTCTTTGAACTTGACGTTTCTGGGCACACGTTCGTCTCACTTCAACCGCACTTGACACACGCGTTTTGAAGCACTACGGCGATTGGTTTAAAACCCGGAAATGATCCCAGTTGGACCGAGGCTTGTCAGTCAGCATTACATTACATTTATACACAACATATTGTGATGACTATGCCAGCCAGCGGGAGGGTTAGTGGCAGCGGCAAGCATTATGCGAATGTGTAAATAGTTAGCGTAATATTGTGGTATAATCCGGAGTCATTGTGTTTTACGGTTCTTGTTATTGTTGTATTTTGAGGGGTTAAAAATGACTGTTGGGTTCATGCTGTGTGTGTTGGGTTGCATCGAGCATTCGATGCTCGAACCTGTTGACTGCTGTTCGATTGGATGTGTTTTTCTCGCTGTATTATTATGCCTGTGTGTGTGGGAAGTCTGTAGTTGCTGTGACGGAGAAAATAAAGTAAACAGAGAGCTGGCTGACTGTGTGAGTTGAGAACGGTGAATTACGCCACTGAAGAGCATTTCAGGGTGAGGGCGCACACGGTGCCAGTAATAGAAGGAGGAGGTGTGATCCTTGAGGGATTGTAAAGCTGCGTGGTGCATAGAGCCCGGCTGCAACAGTGTTAGTCTTATCGTAGGAGCTAGCACCCCGCTAGCTAGCAGCTGCCCAGTTAGCATTCGCTCCTCTCCTCCGCGCCGGAGGTCGCTACAATATATTACATGTTAGAGTATGTGAATATTTTAGGACTTAATTAAGAGAATGTAGGTAGAGGTTTGGTACGTCAATGGATGTTGCCAGCGTCCCATGGTGAATGCATCCCGTGGAGGGCTACCCCCAGCCACCCAGCCCAGCGCCGAACCCCGGTACAAACCTCCTGCCCCGGCCAGCAGTCAAGCTGCCCCGTTATAATGGACTGACTCCTTTGGAGCCCTACATTGCTCAAGTGAACCTAGCAGCCCTCCACGCAGGATGGAGCCCCGGAGAGACTGCCACCCGCTTGGCCCTTGCCTTAGAGGGGACCGCGCTACAGGTCCTCCTCGATCTGTCTCCAGAGGAACAGGCTGAGTTACCCTCCCTCATCGCTGCCCTGGACCGCCGTTTCGGCCAGAGAACATCCGCCGAACAGAGTAGAGAAGAGCTGGCTAATCGCCCCCGCCACGAAGGAGAGAGCCTGGGTGCCTTTGCCGCTGACCTACGGCTCTACGTCAGACGAGGATATCCCACCTTCCCGGCG